AAAAANAAAAAAAAAAAAATTGATGAAGAGATTTTTTTTTTCTCTTTAATATTAACGAAAGATAATAAATTGATTTGAATGAATGCTATGGGATGTTTGTGTTAACAAATATTGGCAATTTGTTTAGAAATTGTATTTGTAAACAAATAAAGCGAAGAAGAGAAAAGACAAAAAGAAAAGGAGGAGAAGGTAAAGGAAAAAGAAATCATTAAAATGATTAAAATTTAATTTTAAGAAATTAGAGGAAAAAAGCCTTCGATTCAATTTTCAGTTATTTATTTTTATTTATTTGCCAGATTAAAATAATATAATTTGATATCTTTGCTACTTTGATAACTTTTATATCTTATCATATTTGACGCATGATAACGCTACCGCTATATAAATATTTGTTATGGTTCAATTATTGATAAGGTTATTTTAATTTTGACACTTGCAAATTATAGAATAAACAAAAATAACAAATCGATTAGGCATAGTAAAATATACGTTAGTATTGCATACGATTACATCAAAGATTTTTTTTGGTTAAAATTTAATCAACAATGCAACCATCACAAATGTAAATTGATATAAGGTTAAGATAAATTGCTCCTTCAGTGATATGGTGGAAATACGTTAATCGTGAATATGATCATGATAACATTCTTTTAGCGGATATTTAATCAATGAAACTATGAATAGGTGAACCTAATTATAACACATTTGAACTTATACAAAGTTAAGATAAGTTTTCTCATCAGTTATACAGTGGAAATATTAGTAATATGTACTACTACTAATATAAATATGTAAGATCATGTTAAAATAACGCGATTATACGGTATGTGAAGTTTAGGAAAGTTAAGAAATTCAAAATGATTATATTGAGCGATTGCGTATTTCGAAATAAAATTTCCGGATACATTAATCGTTCCCTTTCTTTTTTTTTTCTTTCTCTCCCTGTTATTGGTTACTTTCCGACTTTTTGAGCAAATCCTGTTTTTTTTTTCAAAGTTTTTCTTCATCACTATTACATATACAATAATAATAGGAACGAAAACAATAACAAGAACAACAATAACAATAGAAACAGAAACAATAATAAGAACAACAATATCAACAACAGCAGAAACAACAACAAGGATTGTTTGTTTTTACTGTTGTCCTTGTTGACAACAATAACAACAACAAGGATAACAATAATAACAAATTGCAACAATTAGATATAAAACGTTTATTATTTTTTATTTTGTAAGAATGGGAATGAATTGCTGAGATTGTTGAACAGATAAAAGAATTTTTTTTTCTTTTTCAACACTTCAGTATTCATTTATATTAAAATTTCTCAGTTGAAATTGGCTGTTAAGTTTTCTGTCCAAAAAAAGAAAGAAAAAAGAGAGAAAGATGGACGAAATTTTTTTTCTGTCAAGGATAAAGTTTGAAAAACAACGAAATGCATTCTTCAATTGCTTGAAATGTCCGTCTTTTAATATTTTCCCTTTTGATAAATTGTTTTTTTTCATTCTTTTTTTAGTACTTCAAATTTATAAATGAAAGTTGTTAGTGAAAGTTGTTATTTCTTAGAGCCATTTTCTTCTTTCTTTTTTTCATAGATTTCGGTGTCTTTTATATGTTTGGTTTTGGATTACTTGCCGGTTTTGTTCAATTTAATATTCCCTTTAACTTCATTTCCCACTTTTTTAAAATTAAAATGTAAATTTAATAAAAATCGTTTGAAATAATTTTGCACGTTAAGTTGTGTAAAATGATTAAAGTTAGGCAAAGAGTATGAAATATGACGCGAAATATGTATGTCCTGAAGATTTTCCATCAAATCAACAAACGTTCTCATGTGAATATTTTAGTCAGTATTAATAGTAACTTGTTAAATTTGTGAAAAACTACTGTATGATTATATTTCTAATACAATCATACATTTCATACAAATATATATGTCCTGAGTTTTCCAGAAAACGAACGAACAAACAGTGTCATGCAAATGCATTAGCTAGTTTGTGCATTAAAAGTATTTGTTAAATCTACAAAATTCTATTCCTAATATAATCATACGGTTTATATATGTAGCAGATCATGAAGGTTCTCGAGAAAAATGAGCAAACGATGTCAAACGTGTCAAATAATAATACTAATAAACTGTTAGGGTGATGTGATTTTATTTCTAAATTATTTTTAATACAATCATAGATACACAACAAAATTCAAAATTATTCAACAAAAAGCAGCATTAATGTATTCTGGTAATGTATTACCGATATATTAGAAATAACGCTAAAACATCGTAGAAAATACCGAAGTAATTACTAAAATATTAATTAAATTCAAATTAGAATTATTTCACTTTTACAGAATTACCTTCGGGTGATACTTCTGCTTCGAACATATTGATGAGGTCCAAATTGTTTTGACAAATAATATTACTATCCATTTGATATTCAACAATCATCAATCGATTGGTTGATTGATTGATTGATTGATTGACTGAATGACTGGAAGATTTATCAAACTGTTACGATTAACCAATTTGATCTAATGAACATAGAAATTAAAATAAATTGTAATATTCAAAACTTGAAATTAAATTTGAAACTAAATGGAAAAAAGGAAAATGAAATAAGCGTTGTGTCTGAGACAACTGACATCTTCAAGCAAACTCGATCTGACGCAATCAGATGGCAGATTAGCTGTCACAACAACTGAACAATTCGTTGTTTTGAATTAGCTTTATTGCTTGTTGCAATGAGTGAATGAATGATAGGTTGAATAGATTGAGCTGGTTGAAAATGAAATAATAATTTAGAGTTGTAATGTTTGGGAGGCTAATATAAATCGTTAAATTTAATGTTTTTCATCCTAAATGCACCCATTTAATTCGTAAAATATATCATTTTAAATAATTCAAATTATCATTTTATGCATATTCAGTTATTTCGTATCATTTTTTTCCGTTTTTTGTTGTTTTTTTTCTTTTTTTTGGGAGGGGCGAGGGGGGGAATTGATTAATCATTTGTAATTAATGTTTTCTTTTTTTTTTCTTTTTTTTGTTAAAAAATTTTCAATTACATTGATGTTATAAATCACAAATTGGAAGAAATGATTGTTTGAAAATTACTTTTGAATAAAAAATGAATTTATAAATGTCATCGGTTTATATTTCTTTTCATACTATAATTTCACTTTTATTTTTTTTAAATTTAAATTCCTTACTTTTTTGTTTTTAAAGATATAAGAGGGATGGATAAAAAAAAATGAGATGAAATATGCACCGATATTATCATC